TTGTTCTTGAGGTTTTGGAGTGACTAAGTTTTACACTGGTTTCCTCCCTGGTGCTGTAGAAGAGCAGGCAGTAGCTGTCCTTTTGGTGCATGAAATCTTAGCACAGAAATGTTTGTAGGGTCTGGTTACCTCCAGGGACTTGGTACTGAGTTTAGAAAGGGATTGTTTAAGCGGAAATGAAACTCACCTGTTCTTTCCATTTTGATTCTTACTGCGTTATATTGACACCTCTCAAGAGTGCCTGGATTTGGGGGATGGGGTGTTCTAAGGATAGTGCTCATTTCACTGCCCCTGAAGTCTGCCAAAGAGTACTCGGGACAGCATTTGATGGAAGTTACATGCCACACAGTAAGGAAACTTTTTTCCCGCCTTTGCTCTAATCATGTTCTTACTCAAAAGTAAATCCTGGTGACGCTTAACCTTAGGAGGGTTCCTTTTGTCCCAGTGACAGATCTTTTTCCTTTTTTCTCAATTAGTAGAAAATTTTAACTCCCAGTTCCTCCTTTCAGTTTCACGTCCATGGCTGATAGTTCAGTGCTTAGCTTTCTCTTGACATAGAAAGCTATCTTTCTAGCCTTTCTATATGATTTAGGCTATACTAAAGAGGAGACTCAAAAGTAACTGTCTGAAATGTGCATCTGTATCAGTTTGCAGAAGTCGAGGTGCTGCTCGAGACTTGAGTGACTTGGGAAATTAGCTGCACATCATCTTGGGGGTGAAAAAAAAATTTCTACCTAATAAATCCCTCTTGAATGCGCAGGGTTTGCTTTCTCAATTTTTTCCCTCAAGGCTGAAGTGGCTACAGTACTATCAGGAAAAAAGAAGACTGCTCCAGAGAGTGTTAGATTGTATGTGTCTGGATGGGCCGACAGTGTAATGTACCTGCTGTTAACAAGCAGCTTGCCTTACTTTTAAATTGAGGTTAACGGACAAGGAAATAGCACTTTGTGTCCTCTATGAAGACAGACCCCTGCCAGCCATAATCTGAAGGTGGTATTTCAACAGCGATAGATTACCTATGAAGGTAAGGCAGCAGAGCATGGGTGTGTATGCGCAAAGGCTTCGTGTTGGGTACTTGTGACTGGAGATGATACTTAGAAATACGGTAGTGAGACACTGTCCTCTCCCCTCGTTATACAGTAAAAACAGCTGGTCATTTTTCAAGTTCCTGTTGATCTGGACCATGTTTTAAGTGACATTTAGAGATGAAAAGCTTTTAGTTTCATTACTGGTTGTCAGTTAATTTCTCAGTTGTAATACTTCAACAGGAGGATAAGGCTCATAATCAGTGAACTGATGAATACTTCATTTACCACAAGTGACTTAATGTGAGCACATTATCCTTAAAGATAAAAAGCCTGACAAATTTCTTCCTTTCCAATTTAATCAAATGCATAATGCCACCAGTGTGATTTGGGATGCCTGTCTAGGTCTTGCATGTCTTTCCCTTGTGGAAGAGCCTTATAGTACTTTGAGTAACTTGCACCCTACATGAATTAAGTGAAGGATTGGACAGGTATGCTGACAAGATACTCAGGATGTCTTAGTATTTAGTTTCAAAGGGATTTTAAAACAGGTAACTGTAAATCATTGTGTGTGAATCCAGCCTTCAGCTTGAGGATTCTTTCCACTTTCTGATACTGCTGGTTGTAAGAAGTTGGTTGAAATGCTGGATGTGTGGTGTAGGTCGGTGGGCAGTGCTTGTGGGGTTTCTGAGGTGGTTCTCCAACGCGGTGTCATGAACGCGTTCATAGATACTGAATGCTTGGTTCAGCGGTGTGGAATTTAGACTGCAAAACTAAAGAACAGTTTTGATCTGACAATGGAAGTTAAATGGCAGTAAATCAAGGAATTAATTTTAGAATGCTCAAATGTTCTAAAATTCTTGCAAGGGAATAGAAATATCCAGAATACACTCTAGAAAAGCATAAATGAGCACTTCAAACCCATTACATTGAAAACATCTATAAGCTTTTGTTTCTGGAACTTGGCTTTTTAAGGATACATTGAATAACTGAAAGCACTAGATAAGAAGGCCCCCCTGTTTCTGTATATAGTAGAAAAAAGACTTCACCTTCCAAAAAATGGTAAAGTTGGTGGAAAATTTACTGTAGTAGAAATCACCCCAGTGTAATGTGATGAAGGTCAACTTAACAATGTGAAGGAAAACTTGATTAATCCTTTTTTGTAATAGGGTCATTTCCATGGGTGAAAATGCAAGCAGTAGGTAAGTTCTGTGGTGAAATATATATATTTTTTCAGTATATTTACTGCAGCAATTAAAAAGGAAAAAAGAAAGGGCCTAGCTACTGTACATTTGAGTTGAATATTGCAGTCCTGCCATTTATGCTGGAGACAAGAATTGCACTTGTAATACATCTGTGATAATTTCTGTGATTGCTGCAAGAGCTGCTGTATCAATGTGTGTATCTCAGTTTAGCCATTATGATGCCTTAATGTAGGTAAAATTAATGTACGTGAAAGGCTAGAGCTCTGATGAATTAGCTGCGCAAGTATAAATAGCTTTGTTCTAAATAGCACCTCTGTGCCTGCAGTCCTGCTCTCTGTAGGCTTTGCCAGCACACAGGTAAGTGATGTGTGTATGCTTTGCCCAAGAATTCCAGGTGTAAAACAGGCTGCCCTAAAGCCCACGGTAAGTGTTGCTTGCATGGCCTGAACTGACCAAGTAGAAGATGCATGTGGCTTTGGTGCGGATGTGATCTCCTGGCCCTCGGCAAACTGCTTGGAATAAGGTAAGGACACAGGTTCTGAGCAGGTGGGGCTGAGGCCGGAGCTGTCTGTGGGAGCACCTCACAGTCTTTCTGCCTCTGAGGGGAAACTCTTATTCATTGCCGTTGACATGAACTTTGTTCAACAGCTCAACACAAACATTTCCCAAACCACGCTGCCTTACTGTGTAAGAATAGCCACATCTTCTCATTTCTTGACTCACTTGATAAGCGATTTTTCTAAAACAGTTTACTTGGCGTAATTTTTCTCACCTGGCTGCTTTGGCACATTTGAGACCAAGCTTGCCCTTACCATAGCTGGGGGTGATGCTAACAGAGGAAACACTGCCTGCTCTGTAATGTCAGAGAAGCTTGCCTGTTATTAGAGCAGGAGAAGGTGACCTACAGTGATCTTTACTAATTGTTGGATGGATGGCAATTTTTATGCTGTGTAGGAGTAACTTGCTAATTTAACTTTGCCATGCTCCCTGACCCCTGAGGTCAGTAAAACGAACTTGTAATGTTGTCTTGCTGTGCTTACAGGGAAAGGCAGGGGAGCAATTGCATGCACCCTGAAGCCAGTTTCCATTAGTAGTTCCGTAGTGACCTGGGGTACTCCTTTCAGGTGCTAGTGTTTATGAGGTGTTGGATAGCTTTTAGCAGAGGCTAATAGCATAAAAAACTTTAGTATATGAAAGAATAAATACACACATGATGATTATATTTAATAATTGCTTATGTCTTTACACATAGAATTGCTGGTGTCATTTTACAAAGTGCACTGATTTGGAATGGCAACAAACACTTTTTACAAGGTAACGTCTTCAGCTAAAAAGTGCTCATCTTAGCAGCTGAATTCAGTCTGAGATCCTTTTGTAGTATATCCACTTAGTTTGAATTCTCAGTCAATGCACAAAGATGCAACCATTTTGATAAGCTGTCAAACCAAAAAATATGCATCTTGACTGCTTGCCTTGGATATGAAGATGATTAACACTAATTAGCAACACTAGCATGTTTAAAGGCACTTTGTTTTTTTCATGAGGCCCAAGTCTTATCCTTACTTTTGAGGGTATTTTAGCTTTCTTTGAAACACTGATTTTTGTAACAATATTTTTCCAAGGTTGGAAGAGTTGAACCTCATGTGCAGAGGTGTTGGTCCTAACGATACAGACTGATGAAGTATCTGAGATAAACAGTTCTTCCAAAGACTGGCTTTCTAAATTCTACCTTAAATATTGATATTAGCAGAGGCTTATTTTTCAGAGCTGTGACTGTTGAATAAATCAGTCATGTGAGAGGAGGTCCCTGTAATAGAACTGGTGTTAAAACAAGAGGTTTGCTTTTCATAGCACCACAAATAACCTTTGGTTTATGTGTCAACTGTCTTATGGTAGACCTGCCACTGACATTTTGAGGGACAGATGTTTATCTAAGTTGTATTGGGAATATTCCAGTTAGCAAATGCGCTAAATAAAACCTAACATTAAATTTTGGAAATGTACACTAAATTAATTTTGGCCCTTAAGAACAGAGAATTGTACCATAATAGTGCGACATTGCCTGCCAAACCGAGACTAGGATTGTTTGATTGCTGTTCTTCCTGTGGTCCACTGTTGTTAACCTTACTCAAGTTCAGTTATGAAGTGAGGCATCTGTGTGTCCTGGAGAACATCAGGTGTGGAAGGTTACCCAGAGCTCTGCTTCTGTAGAAAGGAAAACTTATCCCTTCCAGGAAAAAAGATTATTTTTTTCGGAGATTAGCTTTCCATGAAGGGCACTGAAGTACTCAAATTGAACTACATAACTGCAAGTCTGCCTTAACTGTATGCCCTCACTCAGAAAAAGCAGTGTTTTGGATTTTTTTTTCCTCTTCCAAATAGATTTTTTTTTTTTAAGCATCATTCCCAGCTCTCATACAATTTAGGACTAGCAAAAAAATAATTAAAGAGTTTCCTAAATTATATTTTTATATTTGAAAATGTATACCATATGCTCTTAAGCACTGACAGTCTGAAATTTGGCAATTCAACTTAGAGAAAGAGTCAAGATTCCCAGAAGACTAATACCTGAGTGCAGAACTTCCTATTCTACAGCTTAAGTAAACTAAACAGTGAGGGAATTTGTGAAATGAAACTGTACAAAAAGAGCACAGAAAAGGTTTACTAAAGCACAGCAGAATGCCCAGGCACAGTGGAAGCCAGCCTTCAGGTACCAATGACTGTCCCTCTTGCAAAATCAAAAAGCAACTGATGTTATATTCAAGGTTCCTTAACTGAGCAGCTGGCAGATTTCTTTGTGAACACAGCACAGGAAATCCACGTAAGAAGCTCCTCCATAAATACTCTTGTCTTCCACCAGGAGCTGTCGGAAAAGCATCTCTGGCTGCTCCCGTTGTTTCACTATAATCAGCTGAAAAGATGAGATACATATTTTTATGAAGCAGTCATACTGAATGGCACTACTGTTTTCCTGGATGCATTTACTATGTGCTGTTGAGGTGTAAAAAAAAAAAAACCAACCCCAAATTAATAAATCTCCACATTTCAGTAGCTATATTTATGAGCACAGGAGAGAGAAACTAGTGTGAATTAAGGTTTGCAGAATAAAATTGTAACCTTGACTACCTCTGAAAAATGTCTTTTGATTGAGAATTAAGCACATTTGAGACATTTTTGCCTACAATGTATGCTGGAACTCACTGGCATACAGGAAAATTCACAGCTGCCAGTAAATTTTGTCAGAGTCCGTAGTGTTCTTTTGAACAGGCATGAGGAGTGAGTTGAGGCAGGGAGAAGTCTTACCTTCATAGTGTAGGGTTTTTGGCTCTGGATATGCTCCAGTATTGACTTAAGTTTCTTAGAAAACGGATTGTCCAGGTCAGGCAGTAATGTCTGTTAGAAGGAAAGCATGGCAAGCTGTTATATTCCAGTCCCATCTCTTAGAAATTCATACAAGACTACCTGCTGATATTTGTAATGCAAGTTACTTCATTTCATTCTAAACTGGGAAATGCCATCTCCTTCACCAAAATGGGTCTCATCTGAAAGACGCATCTGTCTAAGCCATTTTTAAGTTAAAAATAATCACTATATTAAAATTCATTATCAGCAGAAACTTTATTGCAAAATGTTTTGTTCCAATTTTAGCAATACACATTCAATAGGACTTTAATATTAATCTGCAACAGTGAAAGGTTAAGAAGGATTAAAAATGTTGTGAAAGCTTTTTTCCTGTATGTATTCAGAGTGTAAAAGCTTCTTAACATTTTATGTATTAGTGCTGGTGTCTTAACACCTTCTGCTGGTCAGCTGTTTCTGCTTTTAACTGAATGATGAAAATCCACCTCACTTGTATCTCTGATTAGCAGTCTGCTCTTACTAAATCTTAAATTTGGAAAAAAGGCACTAGTCTCCATCTACTCACAGCCTCCGTGCTGATGTGTGCAAAGGATGGCACATTGAACAACCCTTGGATGAGCTCTGGGGGCGCACTGACTCCCAGCCATAGGAACATACTCAGACCGTTGGTCAGAATGAAGGCCCCTCCTTCTGAGAGCCGTTCCTCCGAGCAGCGGACTGCAGCTGGGACAGTGTCAGTCCTCGGGTCCAGGCTGTGCTGTGGGGCAAAAACACACAAGAGTTGTGGGCTTGGTGGCCTCAAGGTGATTAAACTGCTAATTAAGATGCTGAAAAGTAACTATTGAAAGGTTTAGTCCATCTTTAGTTCCTTTCCACATGAGAGGAAACTAGAAATCAAACCTCTGCACTGTGTGCAAAGGAAGACCTGCCACAAGTGGAGAGTCACTTGCATGCCAGCATTGATCTTTAGTAAAGCCGGCATCTTTCATTAGTCCAGGCAAAAACCTTGTTAAAAAGTACAGTGTCAAAGATTGATCATGTTACTGCCCCATTTTCCGTTAAACTAGAGGTTTTACCCTCCCTCTTCAATTTCGTTCAACTAGGAAAAGCATAATCCAGCTTGGTAGCGTAGCAGTTGCCCAGCAGACAGAATCGTTTCTGCATCTGCACAATTACGGCATACTGAAAACAACTTTACTGAAAATAAGATGTGCAAACAGCATACTTACGATTGGCAGAAGCCGTGGATAGAAGAACAACTGTGTGTCAGCTACCCCCATGGCCATGACCAGCTGCCGGTGGTATGCTCTCTCATCAGTTGGAATTTCTGGTCTGCCAACAAGCACGCAGCTCTTCAGCAGACAGTTCATGTACACGGGCAGCACCTTCATTGAGTCTGGAAGGATGAGCTGAGAGGCAGAGACAGCTTGTTACTGAATATATCCCATGTGCTGGGGAAAAGCAAATGCTGAAATAAAACACTGCTTGTTTTCTTTGATTAAAGAAAACAAAAAAAACTAGAAAAACTTTTATATGTGCTGTTTCAAACTAGATGTGACAGCTCTGAATGGGTAATGTATTTAATAACAATCCAACAGCAGTTATTTGCCCTACAGACTATAGTTTTCATCTTGGATGCTGTTATCTCCCTGTAACCCATCCTCATTTTTAGGTACTAAATTAAAGGAGTTGCATAGGGAAAGTGGGTGTGGTTTGTTTGTTTGTTTGTTTTTCCCCTGAACAACTTAGGAGGGAAATGAAGTTCCACAGTCAGTGTCTCTTTGATATTGTTTCTAACATTATTTGTCCTCCAAATAATAGCAATGTGTTGAGAGACTTTTCAATCATCTGGTTGTCCGGTAAATAGTGTGTAATAGACCTCAAGATGATTTGTTCCATGACCTTTCCTGGGACTGAGGTCAGACTGACAGGTCTGTAGTTCCCCGGATCCTCCTTCCAGCCCTTCTTGTAGTTGGGCATCACATTTGCTAACCTCCAGTCAACTGGGACCTCCCTGGTGAGCCAGGACTGCTGATAAATTATGAAGAGTGGCTTGGAGAACACATCTGCCAACTCCTTCAGCACTCTCAGATGTAACCCATCTGTTATGTTTTAACGGCACAAGAAGGAAAAATGAAAGCTTTGTGAATCTGCACCTAGTTCCAGCAGGAAGAAAAAGGCTGGCTGAGATCCTTTGTGTGAATATGACCATCAGCTTCCTCAATGGAATTGCCATTTGTTCCAGAACAACAGTGTCCTTGTGTTGTAACTGCTACCCTTGAATCCCACCCGTCATTAATTGTGTTTGAAAGAAAAGGAAGCCTGTCCTGATATTTTCCTTTCTGGCACCGCTGATATTGCAAGGCTGGTTGTTCACCTGCTTCAAAGCCTGGTGGAGGGAGGCCTGAGTTCAGCTGAGTTTTACCTGGCTTACTGCTGATGGGCTGGCACAGTTCTTCCTGTAGCATGCCAGCATGTGAGCTGTCTGATTCAGCATGAGCTTTCTGATTCAGCAAGATCTCTCTGACAGTCTTCAGTGGTTGGCTTAGAATGGCTTTAAAAGCTACAAATACAGAAGAACAGAAGAGCATGCTCAAGACAGATGCATACTTTTAAAGTATGTCTATCCTACTGCCTTCTAATTTTACTACCCTCAGGTCTATGGCTGCTTTTTAGTGTCTTTTACAGCATCTTGGAGGATGTTTATTTGTCTTTGCAAAAAAACCCCCACAAACCACCAAACAAAAAAAAAACCCCAAAACAAAACCAAAACCCAAGCACCGAACTATGATAGCATATGCATTTCCACTACTGTGCATTACATCTTTCTAGCTGCCTTCTCAAGCATTAATTTGGTAGTATGTCTAAAATACATAATCTATTTGTATATTCAATTTTATAGTACTTCAGGAGTTGCTCAGGCTTGGAGCAGCAAGTTACAAAACTATTTCCCACTAGGTAATCACTTCAACTCCCTTTCTTTCCCCTTCCTCTACTCCAACAAAATAAAGAAAACAAAGTTGGTCTGCTCTAACTTTACCTGACTTAGCAAAGAAGTTGGTAAGTGCATCAGTCTCACAAGCCTTGTAGATATCAGCTAACTGGGAGCTACAATTTAAACCTATGTTGTGTATGCGAAGTCTTCTTTGCCCGCTTATTGATGTGTAAAGAACAGCACACTGCAACAGAAAAGCAAATTACCAGTTTTGTTTTACAAGTAAAAGCTTGTGTGATGAAAGAGCTACCTACTTAGTGCATAGAAGGAATAGAATTACTTCTGAAGGTAGCCTAGTGCTGCTTCAGTGCTTCAATGATCCATAGGACTTAAATACATGCGTTTTTTTAAAATGGAATTACATTAGACATTATAAAAGTTACTAAACTTAAAATTATAAAAAAATAATTAATTTTAAAAGTTTATTATTCTCATTTGCTATATACTGAAGGTAAATTTGTAAATCATACTTTGTAATTGTGTACTATTTGAACAAGTCAAACAAATATATCTGAGGAGATGCCTTACAAGAGGTAAGTACTCTGCCCATCACATTGTCTCTCAATGAAAAACCTAACAGAAAAACTTCCTGATCTTAAAAGTTGAGTAGTCTTTTCACATGCAAGAAGATGGTTATGAAGTGAAACGAGAGGTCCTGCTAACCTCTGTATCCTGCATCTAACATGGGCTTAGATGTTAAAAACTGAGGGGTTAATTTAAGAATTTGCTTATGACTACAATGGATGATCCAACACCTGCAGGGCAAACACAGACTCCCAAGTTTCTGCAGTCTGCCTTGCATTATATCTTCCACAAGTATCTCGTATGACAGAGCTGCAAATGCACCAGCTACAGGGCACATGTCACTGCTGCACCATGTCTCTGGGACATGCCTTAAGACATAGCAAATGGGATGGTTCACAGTGCTGTAATCATACAGGGATTAGCTGCTAACATCTGACATGTATTTATAGGGGCAAGCTAAAAGCCAAGCAGAACAGAAATAAAAGTTCAGATAATTCTCTGGTTTAAGATTAAAATGTTGCAGGCTGTAACTTTTTTTTTCTTGTTTAATGACAGAAAAAGTCATGACTGAACATACAGACTAGTAAACAACAACCTCCGGTATCTGATAATGAGCAAGATTCTCCCACTCCTAACAAAAGGTGTGTCACAAGTCTGTTGGCAATGCGGGCAGAGCCACATCACTCATTGCCTAAGTGGCATTTCCAGGAACTGTTACTGAGGTCCCATGTTGTGGACTAAGGCAGGAAGCAAAGATTTAATTAGCTCTGCAACAGCCTGGCATTTTCAAGGCAGGACCAAAGCCCCTCATGCACTAGGCAAAATTCTTGTGCTAGTGGTGCTACTGCGGCCAGTCCGACCTGAGCTTCAGAGCTCTCAAATTGAGCAGGGGAATATGGAGGGCTCTCCCCTCTTCTCCCATAGACTGGAACCACTCTGCATGAGAGAGATGGCACGGCATATCCTGCCATAACTCCCAGAGTACTTTGTTATGCCAGCAGGTGAGTGCCATGGGGCTCCATCACTCACATGCCAAGAACCTGCTGGAGCAGGGCAGCCAGCTGACAGCCTGCGAGCAAGACCTTTCATTGCACAGGTACCACTGCTGGTGGGTCTCGAGCAGTCTGCAGGGTTGGCAATGATGTTCAGCAACAGACAACTGCTCTGTTACTAGGAGTGTCACAACAGTAACTGTTTCCATAAAAAAGTAATGAATCTCGTAGTCTAAAAACATTATTTAGTAAAATGGAAACAAATAATAGCTGACAAGGTCTCAGTGAGTGAGCAGAAAACATTTTGGTTTCCCTGAATAGAACATGCAGGACAGAGCTAGATGACACACACCAAGTGTAACAAGGGGCATCATTCCAACCTTCATGCCTAACTTCCTCCCAAACATAAGTTTGTTCTTTTGAGGTAAGACACAATCTTTGCCTAGTTAATTAAAACCTTATTTTATTAGTGGTATTATGTCACCAGAGTCTGTGCAAGTGTGCCGTGCTTCCATCAGTCCTACACCATAACTTTTTTTTTCTGCTATGGCTGCAGAAGTTCTTGCTCACAATTTCACAAAATGACATGTAATTAAGTTGAGGTTTTTTTACCTGAATTAAGGCTCCACTGTCTTCATTCAGTTTGTCATCATGTTTGAACTCCACTGTCACTGCCTTGTCACAGTCAACTGCTGCCATCTCTACATCTGTGGTGTTGTTCATGTAAATAGCACCAAAGAAGTCCGTAGCCCTGAAGCCTATAGCCAGATTAAAACAGAACAAGCATCCTTTTATTTAAAAATTGCAAATAGATTCGACATTATTCTGTGACCTTCTTCATATGATCAGTCCATTTTGCTTAGAACAAGCAAATATTTAAAAATTGCAAATAGATTCGACATTATTCTGTGACCTTCATATGATCAGTCCATTTTGCTTACTGAAACAGGAACTGCTTTTCCTCATTTTTTGACAGTTGAGGGGAAGGGAAAAGCTGATGGCCATGAAGCTGCACTGTGACTCTCAGACAACCCCCCCTCCAGAACCTTTTCTGCTGTTGACTTGGCCACTTTGTGTGTGTGTGTGTTTCTCAAATACTTGCATTTGAGGTAAGAATGAATGCTTGAAAAGTAGACCCAGTAATTTCATTTGGAGTATTTAGAAAATGAAGGAACATGTAAATGACCAGCAGCAACACTTTTTTATACAACTTACAATCCAAGGTGCATGCACAATGATCAGAAGCTTTAGTCATTTATCTGTCTATTTTATCTGTCTATTCAAATTCTTTTCAAGAGGTACATAATGATGCTAAAACAGTTTGATGTTACAAGTGATCAGTACAGCACTATTATTTAAAATTATATGTTGTCATATGCATTCACATTTCTTTTCATTCCCAGCGGGTATAATTACCTGTACTTGTCCGAACCCTCATTATTGCATCAAATCCGGTCTTTTTTTCTATGTCTCTCCTGAGGTCACTTAAGAACTGGGGGCTGTCAGAATCGAGCTGGAAAGGCGAAGCAAAAGCAGAAGTTGCGGTTCACCACCGGGTGGCAGCAAAATCGCAGAAACCCAACCCTGTCACCCCACCCCCATCCGGACAGCAAACGTGTTCTTACATTTAACATCTTTCCTTCAAAAAGAGATTAAAAATGTTGGTTGTTGTTTTGTTAAGAGAAACATATATGTGCAAGTGGATTCATCACTAGGTTGGGACCTCCAGAATTCCTATTCAATCAAATTATCTCCAGCAGCATCTGTCCTTGCACTTAACCTTTCAGCCTAGCTGGGATCTTACTGCACAGCCATAAGAATTACAGAGTAGCCTGGCTGATTTTGCAAAAAATGCTTTTGCAGGTCCACTTCTGACACAGAGGAAGTCCCCTACTCCCGAGTGATTCTCATGACATTTTAAACAAACAAGCACTGTTACAGCTTTTTTGAGGGTCTTTATCATAAGCATTTTTATCTGTATATACAGGAGTAATTGACTTCACTACTCAAATGCCAGCATATTTAAGTAAGTGGATTAATTGTAACATACCAAGCAGCTTTTACTGTTTCAAGATATAAATTTGACGCTGATCTGTCATTTCTAAGTTTGAATTTTAACCTCTGGAGTTTTTAAGTCAGTTTTCTAGAGTCACTTTAGAATAGCTCCATATTGAACACTGAAGCACACTTTAAAATGAAAGAAAAACAACAAATCCCCAGGTGTGACTATCTGAAAGGTTGGAAACTTGCATCACTTACCTGGAAATTGTTGTACTTGTACAGCGTTCCTCCTGTGTACATTGTGACGAGACCCATAGAGGCTACATCCATGTACTGATTTGGGAAGAGGAACAAATTCACGCAGCAGCCGTTAGCCACACAATCCCTGGCTAAGGCCTCATAAGAATTTACCTGGGGCTGGAAGAGTGTCTGCACAGAATTAAAAAATACAAGTGCCATAATGTTAGATACTGTTGGTAGCCAACCACAATCCAAATGTCCACTTGAAGAAATAAAGACGAAGTGGAAGTTTTAAGTGAGGCATGGATTTGATTGAAAACACGTTGCCCCTGAATCCTCATATGCAGGGAGAAAACTCAGTACATTTTTTAGAGAACAAGCAGGTAGGAGGGGCTCTTGATGGGGGGAATTATTTGCAGCTGCTGAATTTCCTTTATTGATAGGAATGGCTGCTCTACCCTAGTTTGACTTCGGTGTTCTTGTAGGGTCAGTGCTAATAGACTTAAGTAATCAGGGCACAGTAAGAATGGCAATATTGTATAATTAAACAACACATCTTTGTAAAGAAAATAAATTAAGAAAGATCAAGGCTCTATTAGAGAAATTCAGCATAACAGCAGTCCCTTGTTAACTCAGAGTAGAAAATACCTTTTCTTTATCTGTATTGAGTAGCTTTTTGTCATCTCTGTTTCTCAGCTTCCCCGGTGCTTCCGCAGTTGGCAATGAAGAATGGAAGATAAACAATTTTCCAGCACATTCTGCAGCCTGTTTCAAAGGCATCATATTAGCACATTTATTACTGCTAAGATAAACAAGCCTAATTTTCATACATTGTGGTATCTCAAAGAACTGTGTAAAATTTCTCCAAGTTCTTCAGAGCTAAATTATTCATTTAGAAACTCAGAACTTGATAGTAGTAAGTCCTGAAACAAATTTTATGTCAGTAAATAACTTAGTCCAGCACACAGTGATGTTGGCTGATGCATGGTTACAGTAATTTCTACATAAGAATCTAAAACCTTGATGGGCAAAACTAGGAGTAACTCTTGGAGACTTTCCAATTGGATACAAGCATTATGCAACAAGCAACAAGTATCAAAAGTACCAATACTAAGTTGGGTAAAATTGGGAAGCATCATCCGGCAGGGGGATTGGACTGGATGATCTTTTGAGGTCCCTTCCAATCCCTAATGTTCTGTGATTCTGTGATAATTTAACAGAAAAATTATTTCTTGCCATTTAGGTACACTACTATAGAGTGCATTTTTATAGACAAGCAACGATTACATTCCTGTACTAGACTCCACATTCAAATCTACACTGAAATGCAGGAGTATCAAAACTTGCAGTGAATATCTCTTCCTGTCACTAAGTTACTGAAATAACTTGAAGTAAATTCAGGTTTCCTATTCTCATTTAGAACTGTAATGAGCACATGGTATTTACCAAGATGACAAACTACTGACAGAAAACCCCGAATTCCAAAAAAACCCCCAAGTTACAACAGTAGCAGTACTGCAGGCATTTTTGCACTGTTCACAAGCTTTTCCACCACAAGTTAGAAAATCCAGTTTATTGCTCACTTTTACTATTGAGACAGCTAATGGGAATGGATAGAACAGAAGAGAGTATTTCAGTTGGAAGGCATCTACAATGATCATCTAGACCAACTGCCTGACCAGTTAAAGCAAAATGAAACAAAAACTAATTAGCAACTCTGAGGTCTTCCGGTATTGAAGAAGTTGGGTGAAGGGAAGGAAGGGAGAAAGAGAGATTTGTCCTTTTCTTTCTCCAGACTTAACTGCACATCCAGGTTAAAACTAATACCCAAGACTACAGACACAAATCAGCTTTGGTACTCATTCCCCTCCAGATCTTAAGATGTTCACAAGATAAAGATATGCCACATTTCAAAATAAGCTATGGCATTCTGTTGTGAAAACCAGAAATCTCTTTGCTATGGCAGAAATGCAATCATGGACAGCATCTTACTTTTAACAGAGTTGAAATTTCACCCCTAATATTTCAAGCATAGTTACCTTTAATCACAAACGCCAACTTCTCAGTTCTTTTTAAGAAGCATTCTGCTGAAGACTGCAAGACTTACCAAATACCTGTTTGTCATGATATGCATCAGGAATTACTGACACTGCTTTTGACCAATTTTCTAAAATTTATCTATATTATTTCTAAAAAAAAAATTAAAATTAATCCCAAATAGGAACACAATCCGTTTTGGTTTTAGACAAAAATTGTTTTATAGAACACACACATATGCCTATTAATAATTTACAAATCATAACTTTAAACTACTGAGTTAAATAAAAAGTTTAACTAAGAGCTGCTTTCTTTTATAGCCAACCTCAAGGGAAATTTACACCTGTGGTCTTTAAGTCTGTTTTGTAGAAGTCAGGTATTAGGGAAGAGCATTCTGGCAGAAATGGTAACCAAACGTATGTTTTGCATGCATACCTTCTGGCAGCATTAATAAATAACAAGAAAACAGGTATTTATTAAGAAACAGATTTGACAAATTGCGTATTTTCAGTTCAACAAATTTATCTACTCAAGGTTGATGCTTTACTTATACACAGCTCGCAGATATATCAACTATTTTAAAACGCCACTGGCTGTTTTCTGCCCCTACAAATATTGTGGTGAACCATGGTGGTGTTCTTTTAATTGGCTGCACTCCATGGAAATGTCAGCACTTTAGAGGATGTCCCAGACATACAGAAAGCAACTGGGGATGCATCTTGACCTAGGATTCATTCTCAGCTGTAATCAAACTGTGAGAATTTGTCAGTTAAGCAGAAACCCTCCCACCCCCCACTCAACTGAGTCATAAATAGTCATAAATATCTCATTTCGCACAAGAAGTCAGCAGTGAGAGAATAGGCAGGGCAAAACCATATCTTATACTGACTCTTCTCCTACCCTTCCCATGTGCAAGGACTGGATGTTCTGTTGCAGTAACTGAACACTTTTATTTCTTTCAAATGCTGAACAAGAAACTGACTCCTGCTCCTCATCTCCTAAGCATTCAGTCCATGTGGAATAGACTCTAGGGACTGGCTTCCATCAATAAGCAAAATCTGGAAACAGATGTTATGCTTGTCAGTGTTCTCCTCTTGACTGAAGCAGCTCAAACGTACTGTTAGAATAACAGAAATTTAGTGCTGGAAACACTCAGTGACTTTTTTTCTCATTTCCCATTGTGATTTGTAGGACTTGGGACTGGCTGTTAGCAAAGGGAATTTCTGCAGCTTATCAAGTCTTATTCTCAAGCTGTTTCTCTTGCAGAGAGGAACATTCTAACCTTCAGTGCCTCCAGGCCAGCCTGGATAACAGGAGCAAAGATGGTCTCACTCTCATTAGTGTCTGCAAACATCTCTGGAATCTGGTCCAACAAGCTGTGAAAGATGAAAGGATCGATGTCTCAACTGGTTAGCGTATTTGGGATAGTCCCCAAACATACTGTGTAGCATACCAAGTCTTCACACAGGAAGATGTTTTCCATGCAAATTTATATTCTTAAAATACAAATTTTGATTGCTCAATTTCTTAGGATTCAAGCCAGAATAAAACAAAATATGATTTTTTAAATTCTATGAGATGCGTTATTTCAAAGCTGGTAATACAAAGGCACATGCAAGAAATAAAAAAATAGCTAAAAATTAAGGAATTCCACTGTGCTGTAAGGACTTAAGAGTCCTTAGATCATATCCAGGTGCACATTACAGGAGGAAAAACATGCAAAGTGATGTACAGCCACAACCCCCTTCCCATTTTTGAAGAAGGACAGCTGAAGATGCATGGTTTACACCTGGCCTAAATATGTTTCAAATTCAGCACTGGAGAAGTCATTGGTATCACTTTTTATTTGCCTCAGAGGTGAAAATATATGGCTTGAAGCATCTGCTGGCTTCCAAAGTATTTAAATAAATACATGCACCCCGAAACCCAACACAAGTGACTAAAAGGCACAATGCGTATCATAAGCATTCAGGTCTTATTCACATATGGAGTAATTATACTTTACTTGATAACAACAGATCGTGATTCCTGAAAGTTAACAAGGAAACCATCCAGCAAAGGAACAAAAACTTCTCCAACATCTGAGACCACCATCATCTGGGGCTGAGCTAAGCTGCTTTTTACATTAAAGAAGTGGAGGACCTTGTTGTAAGTGACAAAACCAACTCGAATTGCTGAGGATTCTTCTTGCTCTTCTCTGTAAGAAAACAAAAAAACAACTGGTTGTAATTCTGAAATCCTGACCTTGCAATGAAAGCATTCCTTTGAAATGCTATAATGATACAGATCATTATCCGTACTGAGCAACAAAGCAGAAAACAAGCAAGCAGATAAAATGGCCTCAATCTTTGTTGCAGGTCAAACTAAAACACCCTGATAAAATCAACTGCTGTATTATTTATTTTTCTAAATATATATTTACACCAGCTCTATCAACTGTGCATCCTATCCAAACAAAAGTCCCTAAGCTAAAGAATAAACCATGTTGTCCTCAAAACGTGGAAAACAGAGAACAGGACAATCAGTTACAAGATACAAGCAGGAATAAAAAAAGCTTTACTTAGAACACAATGTAATGCAGCGACACTAATGATTGATGCCTACCAAGAACAGTAACTAGGCTTGAATAATGTGTGATGACTTTCATGGGTCTATCTTCTGCTTCA